CCACTTTCAATGTATCTTCGTCTGAAACAGACATGGACGATAGTCGAGGTAAGTCGATTTTTTTTTGTTTACTAATTTATGAATAAAAAAGGTTTTTTATGAATACTCCTTTTTTTCTAGATTTGGAATGTAATGGTGCAGGAATGCGGAGAGCAAGATCTTTACAACATGTTTTTCCTTCCTTACAGGTACTTCTCAACGGGTTTATTATTTCTTATAAAAAAGCCCCCTCATTGACGTTTATACTCTTCATCAGAAACAACAACACCATCTATCCCGTAGATCGGCATCGACACCCAGTTCCAATGATCAAAACGCTCGGGTCCATGAAAATAACGATAAACACAGTGTGGGACGCTTTAGCTTACCTGTATACGAAGTGCTTTCGTCTAAGAGTAAGCAAAAAGAAGATGAAGAACAGGAAGAAGTATATGAAAGCCAAGATGTTTTTACGCAGACATCTGACTCAGATCATAAATTGGATAAACATCTTACAACCTACAGATCAACGCTACATGGTCCCGGCAACAATGAACGTTTCTTGGAAAACCAAAACCACTCACAAAAAAATAATCGCGGTGTCGTTCGGAGCATCGATAGCGGGAAAACCCCAACCCAGAAAACATATGATCATATCTTGACAAATGTGCGATCTGACCAATTTTCCTCTACATATTCTCCCTCGAAATCAGAACCAGAAAGTGATGCCAAGGGAAGAGCGTTGGGATCATGGCACTTGTTCAGAGATGAACACGTGGACACATCTAAATCAAGTGAAGCCCAAAACACCAGTTCGGACTCTTACGATAGAAGTAGCAGGAGGACAAACAAAGTACCCTTGCCGAAATTGCAGGATGTGCCATGTCAATTTTTTGATCAATTGAAGGATGAACTTCACGACTTTACAGAAAAGGATATGTGGCGTCTGAATGTCGATCTTAGAGAAACTTTTGCTAAACTCTTCGGAATCCATACAATTTTTCCTTTATATTTAGACAGTTCTGAATTTGTAATGTGGTTCTTGGATGAAAATGGATGTTTGTTTATGTGGAATGAAATGGAGTGTAGTATAATATACATGGGATCCAACTTGGAAGAAGGAATTACGAACTATCTCATCCATCCGGATAGGATGTGTTACATCATCGAAGACACTTTTGAGCGTGTACCTGTAAATGAATATGAACGTCAACTAAATGAAGAATTTAAAAACCACATGGAGGAGGAGCTTATGAAGAAGCTTTCGGAAGCTGAGGCTAATCTTGTGATTTCAAAAGGAAAAAAAGCAAGAAAGAAGGCAAGTAAGAATAAATAATTCAATTATCAATTCATTTAGTGTTAAGGTTCTTTAAATTTGTATATTTTAGCATGTAGTAGTAGCAACAGAATTATAAAACTGCATTCTTAGCATTACGAAAGCTTTATTGCAAAAGGAAAAATAAAATATGTTAATCACAATGTCAAACGCATCGAGATAAACACTGTTTTGAAGATGTATATTCCTCATACGGAGACCATCACCATATAAGGACACAGGTACACAATTCAATAATCGGGAACTTGCACTGAAAACTTCTATTATTCTATTGGATCTCTCACCCTCGCCGTAGCTATTACTTAACGAAAATGCCTAAGGATAAACGTCGCACAGAATGCGATTCTAAAGACTCAGCTAAATTCCGTTCGTTGAGTGGAGAGAAATGGAGATGCTCTGAATAAAGATTTAGTGAAGCACATGTGGGAGGGAGGAGTTATTCTATGCAACACTTGTTATATGCAATTTGTAGAGAATCTATTAAGAAGAGACGTTAAAAGAGTGAAAGTTCTAACTGAGGAAGAGGTAGGTATGAAGATTGAGCAATAGGTACGGCAAAAGTGATCGGCGTGACAATTTGTCACGCACTGGTAATTTTTTCGTATATTATATATATATGTGTAATCAATATTATCCGGAATAATTTTCTTAGTGAAAGTGATCTGCGTTCCAAATTGGAATGGAAATTCTAATTAAAAATTAAATAAATCTGCTTTATATAAAAAGTTACTAAA